TATGCGGTGGGGAACGAACACGCGCTGTTGTCCTTATCGGGGAGCAGCGCACTTCACCACCACACCATCCGGGTCCTTCGCTTTGCCTGCTTTTGCCATCAGCAATCCTCATTCCCCTGACCTCGAAGGAGCCCCCAATTTTGCAGTGTTGGGTAGGACGAGTACGGAGAGGCTGCTAAAATCTCAGGGCCAGTGGAAGCTGCCTGGATTTCAAAAAACTATGGTGACGATCTGTACATAGAATACACGTACACTTGCATCTGAGTCCTCCATAGAAGACTTGCTCATGCAAGCAAGAAGGATAAAGTACGACGTCATCCGATTGCCCGAGACGAGACGGCGCCACCCATTCAATGCCGTCTATGACACCGGAGAAGAACTGTTCCTCGGAACATGAGACAGTGTAGTAGTCGGCTGCGTCGGCGTTCTGGTCAGCACGAGTTTGTCCATGAACATCGTTTCATTCGAACAACTTATAATCCGAATCAGACGCTTACGATTAAAAAGATGTGGATAAATTCCGGCTTTGACAATCTTCGTCGTTTACGCGCCGACATCAAACTATGACGAAGAAGAAGTCGAAGCGTTCCATATGGACTTGGAAAAGTCCTACAGAGAAGGCCACACATTCTTCAAGGTCATCATTGGAGATTTCAACGCCAAGATTGGACCGAGAAGAACGTTTGAAGAACATCACATTGGGACCCACGGATTAGAATGGAGCGAACAGGGTGAGCGGCTATCTGAGTTTATCATGGCGACCAAGACAATCTGTGGTAACTCGCAATTCCAGAAGCCCCACCCTCAGCGCTGGGGGTGGGAGTCTCTCAATGGAGAGTACCATAGCGAAATAGACCACATCATATTAAGGTTTTCCCTAACCGATGTCGCTGTTGTCCCTAAACTCTACACGGGATCAGACCATCGTCTCCTTCGCGCAAGATTCTTTTTCTCGCGGAAAGGAGAAATAGCCGCTAAATTCAAAAACCGAAGTTCCAGAACCACCACCAACTGGTACTTATTCAATTCGTTAGTCGGCTGTTGGGAAGATGCCATTGTCGACAACATCGACGAAGAATACGATCGGCTCATTCAGCATGTTCACGCTAGCGCTATGAAAGCTCAGAGTTCGAAAGTCACCAAGAGACGTCTGTCTCCAGAAACACTCGAGCTGATACGCCAGCGTGGAATCGCGCGAGCTGCAGGCAACCGCGAACTAACGTCCGAGCTTGCGAAACAATGCAGACATGCGATAAAAGAAGATTTTAGAGAGAAAAGAGCAGCAGTAGAAGTTGCAGAGGCTGGGAAAAGCATTCGCAAAGCCCACCGAGGCTTCGCCAATTACAAGACCAAAATGATTCCTCTCCGGCGCCCAGATGGAACAGTTACAGCGTCCAAAAAGGTAATGGAGAAAATCATTCACGAATACTACTCGTGTCTCTTCGACATCAACGTCCACCTTCCGTCATATGAAATAAAGGAGAATGGATATGTTGTACCATCGGTTCTCCCTTCCGAAATCCGACGTGCCATTTCGTCGGTGAAAAATCGAACAGCACTAGGTACAGACAGGATAAGACCAGAACACCTAAAGAACCTTCCGGCAGTCCTCGTAAACACACTGGCTCGCCTCTTCACACGTTACCTATCTGAATGCAAGGTCCCTACGCAGTGGAAGACCAGCAAGACCCTGTTGTTGTTCAAGAAGTGTGACCTACACGATATCGGCAACTATCGCAAACTGTCGTCTACAAACTTTTCACTCGAGTTATTCCAAACAGGATTGGCAGAACACTAGACGAAGGACAGCCATGTGAGCAAGTAGTGTTTCGAAGAGGATTTAGTACGATGGACCACATCCAAACGGCGAGAGTACCAAAGACCGCTTTATCTCACTTTCATCGATTTACAGAAGGCCTTTGATTCAGTTGGGATAGAAGCAGTCTTGGAAGCCCTTGATAGTCAAGGAGTCCTTGTTCAGTACATAAAGATTCTTCGTGAGCTGTACAAAAATTTCACAACCACGATATATCACCATTCTATAACGATATTAACATGACGTCAAAAGAGGAGTGAGGCAAGGCGATACCATCTCGCCAAAATTATTCACCGCCAACCTCCAGAACGTCATGCGAATATTGGAATGGATAACATGGGAGTGCAAATCGATGGTCGACAGTTACACCATCTTTGCTTTGCTGGTGACATCGTCCTCATAACACCAAACATTAGCTTAGCCATTAGCCAAGCGAAACGTGTGCTTGGCGATTTTGATAAAGCCTGTGGAAAGATCAGTCTTTGACTAAATCTCACAAAAACGATGTTCATGAAGAACGGATTGGTTTCGCATGCCCCATTCACGCTCAACGGGTGGAATATCTCCGAATGCTCCAGTTATATCTATCTAGGTCGGGAAATCAATGTGATGAACAACTTAGCTCCAGAGCTGAGCAGAAGGAAACGAGCGGCTTGGGAAGCTTTCAAGAGCATCGAGGATGTAGTGAAGAGAACAAAGAACACCCGACCCCGTGCCCACTCTTTCGACTCAACGGTACTTCCTGCCCTAACGTATGCGTCAGAAACCTGGTCGCTGCGTAAGCAAGATGAAAGGTCACTCAGCGTTATCGAACGCGCAGTCGAAAGGACGATGCCAGGAGTATCCCGTTCCACACAAGTAAGGATGGGATCCGAAGCTCCGATTTGCGTCAACGATCAAAACCCAAGGATGTCGTTTTGTACGCCAAACAGTCGTAGATAGGGTGGGCCGGACACGTAATGCGCATGAATGATAACGGGTGGACAAGAGTCGTTAGTGACTGGATTCCTCGGGATGTCAATCGCACTGCTAGAAGACCACCGACTCGATGGTCAGAGTTTTTCACGAAGAACCTTGAAGAAAGATGTGATGTTTGACGAGCCCCTAGAGCGAGCAAAATTCACTGGACTATTCTTGCACGCGACAGGGAAAATGGAAGATTTACTGGCGCCCGCTCGAGTCACTCGACGATCAACGGGACAACAGGTGATACAGGTGATATTGAATACACCTAGGCATTTCGATGTATCTTCCATTTCCACCTATGCCTTCTCACAAAAATTAGTAGCTGATTCATCTGAGGTTAGCTCATTCCCTCTGATTCAAAAAGAGTGGTGAGTGCCTGTATTGAAGGCTTTGGAGCACCGTAGTGCCCTAGGACTTCAGAGAGAGTCAACCCAGCCAGAATTAAGCGAGATTCCTAAAGTAGACTAAAAAGACCCGAGTAATAGCAAATCTGGATACTTTCGTGGATGATGGATGCGAAGAATCGGGTGAGAACGGTGCCGAGATTTTCACAATACCTGTACTGTCGGACCGCATATAATAATGTTCTCACTGATGTTTTGTGAAATGTGTGCAGAAGCATACCGATGAGCTCGCATTCTCACTGTCGGAGTAGGACTATCTCAATACTTTTTTCAACAACAGCAGCAGTCTATGTGGTAGGTGATAAAGCCAATGTCGTTGGCACCAGTCCTGACTAGTCCTAGTTTATTGATTAAAAACTATAGATTTCACAAGTTTAGTGCACGCTGGGGATTGCATTGGATTCAACGCGCATCGTCTACCAAGGCCACCGGATTCTATGCAATGCGTGTCGTCTATTGAGAGTTTACGAAATAGTTCAATCAAACGATTCCATCGTATTGGTTGCATGGGTTAGACACTGATATGATCAAAACGATTTCCACACGATATAAATTGTGCCGCTCTTTATTTAATTATGTTTCGTTCTCATTCAAATGTGGTTCGTGAAGGTGAAATAGCACTAACAACTCCGTGGTGGCAACTCCTTCATGCACGCTGCTACATTCTGCTTATATTCTGCAGGGTTCTGGAATAAAAACAAACAACTAGCAGAAATTTTAAAGGAACTTCATCAAAACTACTTCCAGTGGCTTTTAAGGTTCTAAACAGATCTCTGTAGTTTCCCTGGACTAGAATGCTTATGAGGACTTGGCGGCTTGGGTAACATAATTTCTGGAAGAGTGGCCACAGAGGCTTGGACAAACAGCGTTTACCCGTCATCGTGATTTTCAGCCACTAAGCCATTTTTATCTATCCAAATCACAATTACACCACAGCGACAAACATAACGCTTTTTTTGTTCAGACGAAGCCTAATCTTAAGTCTGTTCACGTTAAGATTTTCCTTAAGAATGTCATCGAATCTAAGACTATGTATGACACGAAATGAATAAAAGAACTGGATTCTGCCGTTTTTCAAATCGGAGATGACCGAATTCATCAAGAATGACTTGTGTGAAGGATAATAGTCAAAACTTATTTACAAGTAACGAAGTTCTATCCTGTCAAACGAAATATACGGGAGAGTTAATGTGAATATTATGGTAGAAGCCAAATAGAAACATCTCCGGGCGTCTTATCTCTTGGAAGCCAGTGAGCACCATTTGGAAGAGTCATGACCCTGGTTCGTTTCCTTTTTCGAGAATTTATTGCTGGTCATTGTCGAAAATCGGGCATACTTAGGAGTTATGTTGAAGTTTATGTGCTCATCGACTATACTGCACAAAAGATTATAACCTCTTGTAACCAGACACCTGTCCAAGTGGTAGACTACCTAAAGGCCGCTCATGTCATGTTGCAAGAAGACGTCGAGAAGGGTATGGCTTTCTACAAATGAACAACCTGACGCCAGTCTTCTCTATAAAATATTATAAGTCTCAGAAAAACCTCACATTGACAAATTCGTCGGCGACATCAATTCGAATGGCTCGTGAGAGATCTGGTTCCACCAGGATTCGTAGAATGGACGACAAAACTAGAAATTTCCAGGCTAAAATTTAATACACTGTAAGAAACGAAGTGACATTCTTCGCCGTGTTTAGAAGCTAAATGGACTGAAGTTGAAGCATTAATGTACTTTGCTAAACGGTCATGTTATACGAGCTCGTATTAAGTTCGTAGTTGGCATATGTGCGTATAAAAGTATTGGTATATGTACATGTAAAAGTAGAAACAACTCGTATTTTTCTAAGTGTTTTTTAAAGGCTACCTTTAGAAACTGCTTGTTTGAAGACGCCTACTATGAATAATCACAGTAATTGAGTTTTTCTAAAATAAGTACGGAATACGCTACTGTAAACGATCTCAGATTGAACGTGCTTACAGTAGCCGGAAATTACTGTCATGCGAGAGTATGGCCATTAGAGTTTCCAGAATACACGAGTACTCAACAGGAAACAGTTAAAAGTGTAGTGTCACTGTCAACGACTTCAGTCTATCGGTGTTAACTGAAAAGCTATTTTATTTTTTTTCTTTCATTTATTTGTGTGACCCGACTTCACACGTTGACCGTATCCCTGTAGTTTCCTTATACGAAAGCCCTTCGTTTAAGCACATTTCGCCACATTAAGGTTCGAAACCATAAAGGAAGCTTTGCAGGTTTAGATTTAACACAGAGTTATGTTTGATATGAGAAAAATCAGTGGTTCTGAAAGGCTAAGACATCTGCAAAATTGCATCCATCATGTCCGTTTGCGCGCAGTTATCCTTAGAAACACTATAGGTCCTTAATTCTTGTCCTCACAATTATCAAATGATATTCTGAATCACGTTTGAAGAACTTTATTTTGTGATCTGAATTTTGTAATCCACAACTTATTCCTTTTGAACACAACCCTACAACAATCACAGTGTAAGGAATGGTTTTACCTTTATATCCTATAGGTTTTCGTCTTCTCTCAGACTTAGCGAACTTATTTTCTGTATTAATCGGGAACAAGAGAGAACGTGAGAGCAAAATCTCAATGACAGAGTGCCCATCCATTTTCATGCAAATTTCAATGTTAAGAATGAGCTGTTGAGATTTTGAAGTGATTATTACATTAACTAATACTAACTGTCTGCAAGCGTGGTAGCCGGTTTCCAGTTGTCAAAGCACAGAATGGGTATGCACAAATCGCCATTTCGGTCGACGTTTGGATGATACAACTAGAAAGAGTGATTTGCAAGAAAAGATATACTTTAGGACTTGGAATCTTTTTCTTTGTGATCTTCGCATCTATTGCTTATTACATGGATTTAAGTCCCGTAGTCTGTAATTTAACTCAGTCTTCCCATCAAGCCAACCAAACATATATTTTGAAAAATGAACCTAGTACGTTTCTTTTATGGAGGAGGAGGAACAGAAGAAAAAGAATTTGATTCGTTAAGCCTCACTTTATGACTGATCTTTGAAAAGGATTTTTTTGGAGCCTTTTTGTTTAGGTTATTTTGTACTTCGCTGTAGGACAGTTACGTTCTATCATGACAGCAATTGTGAATGAGTGTTGAAAAAAATCTGATCAACATCTGAGATTCATAGAAAGTCTCTTAGAGACTTGTGACTTTCGTATCATATAAGGAAGAACATTAGTTCCCACGACCGACTTTCTTTTAAACTCGTCATTGATTGGTAATTCGATTTTTTTCTTCAATAAGCAGACAATAAGCAGGTTGTTATTATAGGATTTATTAGGATACAATAGCTGACGTTTCGGCGGTTCCGTCTTCTTCAGAGCCGTTTATTTGTTGTAAGTATTTAAGTTAGTTGATGGATAGCAGCCGCACAGAGTAATACATGGGCGATCGCAGCTATTGTATCCTAATAAGTCCTATAATACCAACCTCGTGTCTGCTTATTGAAGAAAAACATCGAAGGGCATTAGTCTTCGAAGACCTGGAGCTTCCTCAACCAAACTCTATCCTTCCATCAGCGTTCTAGTAGAAGGAAATCCGAATTGTTTAGGACTCTTATAACAAGTGGAAAATTTTTGTCACCTCTAACCTAGCTATTGAATCAGAGACTGTGTTTGCACTGATTTGCTTATTGACCGTTTTTCCTCATACAACTACCACTCGTACTAAGCTTACCTGATGGGCAAAACGGACAGATGGAGGTTTGAACGGGAAGTCACCGGCCATGTCGATGTTCAGCGTCAGCACACCTTGTGAGAAAGGTTCCTGATCCTGTACAGTTATGCTACATATTTAACAGAAGATAGAAGGGAAAAAAATATTAGCTATTTGCAGATTTCAATGGTGCTGAGATATTTGCAAAACTCCGGACCGCAGGCGTCTACGGTGGGAAACGAACGTGCTATTACCCTTTTCGGGGGCTAACGTGTTCACCACCACACAGAACTAGCTGAGAGACAGGCGAAACGAAGGACTCGCAAGGTGTGGTGGTGAACGCGTTAGTCCCCGGAAAGGGTAATAGCGTGTTCGTTACCCACCGCAGACACCTGCGGTCCGGAGTTTTGCAAATATCTCAGCATCATTGAGGTTATATCGCAATATATCCTACCGTTAAAAAGAGTAGGCAGTAAATAACAAGTTAATATACTTGCAGATTATTGTAATGCTGTTAGTTGTATAACTTTTAAGAGGAAGTATAGAAGTATTTTGAGTAAAAGGTTTACAACATCAATAAGTTGTTATGAAAATATGGCTTAGGAGCATGAATTTTTCCCAACGAACTGCTCTACCCATTGATGATTGCGCACTTCATCTACGTTTGCTCTTCGTGCACACTAAAAATACCTCCAAATAAGCTCTCCCTAGAAGTCGTAAACTGTAAAAGAAATGTCTTTGAGTGAAACGTTTGCAATATAGACGACAGGTAAGTGCAGTAAGAGTTGGAAATGTGCTATTTTCCCAAGAGGCAATTCCGCTGCTGATAAACGCTCATTTTGAGAACACTTAGCCTTTCTGAACACAAATACACCAGTAGATGTCTCTTCGGTGATATGCCATCTTTTCGTTACGCCGAAGTGTCTCTAACCTTTAAGTTTTACTGTGTGAGTAGCAAGAGAGCCGCTATAGGACTCAAGCAAACGGGCTAATTCATTTGAAAGTATAGCGTATTATACTTTACTCTAATAAATGCTGTAAGAATAGCTGTCTATGGACAGCTCCGACAAGAAATCTGTGTTCAACAGCTATCCGTCGACTACAAAAACTTGAGAAAAATGTCCTAAATTTTTTCTTTCCAAATTTTTCCAAATCCAAATTCGAAAAAAAAGTTTCAAAAATGTCCTCAGAGAATTGATTGCGCTACACAACTCGCTCTCACAAGGCCTTTTTGTTCTTCTTCACAAAGGATTGAAGGTGGAACTCTTAGCGTTAATTAACCTCACAGGAATAAAAGGTTGGCATTCTCGTGCTTCTGTCCATTCTGTGATATGAAACTTTTGCTGTATTTCCTACCCAGATTATGAAAAATTTTTGAGTGAATCACATACACATGGTTTCTACTGCAAAAATTAAACCATGTTCCTTTAAAAAACCAAACTTTAATGTCCTGCTTAGAAAATCCTCAGTTTGGGTGGTTCCACTAAAGGTTTAGCGACGTCGTGTGACATGGAGCAAAGTACCGTAATGTCAAGCCAGACCTTGTAGTTCGGATCTTTGACAAATATCATCACACCATTCAGATAAGAACCGGCCATACTTTCAAAAGAATTAACGACATTTGATAGACAAAACGGTTGAATGGAGCGAAGGCAACCGCCCGTTGCAAGGAATTAAAATTCTCTCTATTGAAATCTAATTACCATTCTCGTGTCTACTCAATGAGAAAACACTGAAATGTTAAGTAGGAATAGTTGCAAGAGAGCGTACCGATTTGAACGTCACCTTATAACAGTCTCTACTGCCCATCTTAGTTACGGAAACCACGCAGTCGTTCTTTACCTGTAGTTCTTCTATTTCCTTAAAGAAGAACAGTTGGAATTGTATAACATTCTTTTTGCAAGGACTACGAAGTGAGTTTTTGAACGAATATGAATATCATGAAGAGCACAACTCTTCGTGTTCATCACCAAATTCGAGACAGCACCATATCTCTTTAGTTGTAAATTATCCATTAGGTGGTGAGTCTTATAATCGAAGTACTTCAGCTACAAGCTGGTGTCCAAGTGAATAGAACTCACTTTCTTTATACGTGATGCTTGCACCTGCTTTATATATGGAGTGGGCGGCATGACCGATTATAGAAGAGTGTGGAAGGAACTGCTACCATCCGTATTTCTCCGATGATTAATGGCTGGTATCTTATCAGCTTATCTAAAGAAGCTTCAGAAAAGTTCACCTGGTGGAGTAAACATTACGGCTGTGCATTGCCAACCAGCATCTTTCCCATTCTCAACTCAAGTTTTCAGTTCACTGACTTCATGGATTTGCTACTCTATGAGAACAAATTAGCAGGAGTAGCATTTCACTTCAATCGTTTTCCTCTGGTGCCAGCGAAATTTAAGTAGGTAAAACTTATATATTTTTTATTTTTATAAAGAAAGTTTTTTCCCATATTACCGTCTTCACGCCCACTGCGCGAATCCCGGCATTTCTCGCATTTAATTCATTCTCTCGCATCCATTGTACACGAAGATCTTCCAGGTTTTACGTGTGGCCTCTCTGGAGGATTTTCATTTCATCTTGAATGTCGCTGAATGATGGCCGAGTCGATTCTCTCTGGAGTAAACAGATTGCTGGGCTGGAGCGTGCTCAATTGGATTGCAGAGAGTGGTTATTCCAGGGCAAGTGTGGTACCAGTTTACCGACCCCGGAGGGATGAGAGGCTTGGTTGGCCTGGTGCGGAATCGAACTACCACCGTGCTCGTGATGACCGACATCACTACCACTGTGTTATCCGCCCCTTGTAAAAAGTATATTAGGAAGCAGAAAAGGAAATAAAATAGCCTTTTTTTGCAATCTTAGAACCACGTGAAGGTTTAAGAAATATGGGAACAAAATTAGCTGCCATAATGATCTCAGAGCTTACACACGCGTGCAGGAGGAGATAGTCCTTTGATAAAAAACGAACAACACATATGAACGCATGCTTCACAAATCGATTATTCATTAGGCTCGGTATGGATGATCGCTGTGCCTTCTTTCCTTTATGAGTCAACACGAGCTTGATAAAATAAACTTCGTTCGGCTAACGTTTCGACGTTTTCCTCTTCATTAGAGCCGATAACCCGAGTCGATGGTCTACAGTTTTTCGTTCTCACGTTGTGGTGTCTTCGCTGGTTTGTGAGGTGCTACTATGTTTTGTGCTAGCTGATAATGATATCGACTTCTGCATGATGGATTGCCCACTCCACGAAAAGCAACCTATTATCACCCTTGAATTATATAGATATCAGCAGCAACTTTCCTGTATAAATGAGCATCGCCCTGTGGGATTGCCTCGTCACCCCACTGAGGAAGATACGACTCGTTACGAAGACGAAGGCGCTGGATCGAAAAGACGAACAACTGTTGACAATTGATTCGAATCATCGGCTCTGATTAAGACGAAGGCGCCGAGGCCTTAGCCGAATAAAGTTGTTTATCAACCACGTATGGGCTTGTCAATGAAAGAAGGTGCCTATAACACAGTTCAAAAAAAACCTTGTTGAAATTCGAGTCAATTGACACCCACTCAGCATGAGCCTAAGCAAATTGTGCTTTATTTTTCTGTTCTTATTTCTCTCCGTAGTATTTCAGAATGTAAAAGTCCTTCCAAGCTAGCAGTTCTCCAAGATTGTGTCAATCAATATTCCTATTCCTATCACTTGGTCCCGAACATCAGGTTCGAGCGGTTGTTCCATTAATCAGGATTAGCTGTCGTCCCAAAAGAATGCAAGTCACTAGATAGCCATTCTTCTGCTATACACGGGTTGGAAAAAAGTCGGTGGTAACGCCGTGGGAAAACCATAACACGGGAATCTCGGAATGCCATGGAAAAGCATCCTCTACTAGAATTCATCGTATCAATTCAATTAATGGAAAGAAAATTGCAAATTCTTAGGCAGAATTACACATTATCTAGCGCTTAAAGCAGCGCGAACCAAACAGGAGGATCGCCACGACATGTGAAGACGGGTCATCTAAGTCATCTAAGTATCTAACTTATTAGGTAATGTTTGTTTCCGAGTGATGATGTTAAGCCGTCAATCTGCATAGCCCATCTAGACACTGCCAGTAGATATGAAAAGCAATAATGCTGTGCAATAAACTTCTCGTTTACTCTTCTAACACACCTTGGGACAATCTGAATTGATTTCAACTCACAAATGACAAAAACAGCCTAGTTTTCAGGAGTTAAACATGTATTTCGATCTTATAAAAAGTTTATTAAATGAAATGTGACCACTAGGATCTTTAGGTACTTGCCAAGATCATGTATGTTTACCACTTTTTCAAAGGAAAATGCTGATCTTCTGAAGCTCACAATTTTTTTCTTGCTTTTACTTCATCGTGAATTGTAGAATTAATGGGAATTACACAATATTCTATTGCTTTTGCTAAAACGTACATCACTTAGATCGATGGTCGGTTTTCAAGTTAAAATTTTCGAACGGTTTACAAATAAGTTCTCACTGAGATTGCTCGTCCTATGACAAATAAAATTAACCTTTTGCATATAATACACATACATTTTCGTGGGTGCCTTCTAGTTAGGAGCAGCAAAAAGGAGAGAATCATAACAGGATTTGATGCCGTTCTTTTATGTTAAACGAGCGAAGCCCACTGAACAGCACTATTGCGTGACGAGGAACCAATAAGTAAAAAAAAATACAATGGTAAAGCACTCGGCGTTGATCAATCTCTGAAGGAAGCCTCATGTACTCAACTTCATTAAGCATCGTTTGAAGCTGATTGAATGCATATATGGCCTTTACAATGAATCGCGGTGACCTACCGATGTATCGAGCCAGTGCTGCTATCCTCCCAGACAAATCTGGTACCAATTTTCCGACCCTGTAAAGATGGAAACTTAGTGGGCCGGAGGTGCGGGGATTGATCCTATATGTGTGTTGCAAGGCGCCTCCGACCACTGCTCCACACGTGCCCAAAGCAATAAATACGACGAATAAGGTTAGATCATCCCACAGTTCACGATATATTACGACATATCCATATTTAAAACTATTGGTCCTTCGAGCTGCTGTCTATAATCTACAAATTCATTAGTGCTGTGATCCTCAACGAAATAACACTAGCGCTAAACGAATCACGACCATATAAAGAAAAACGAATTGCAAAAAGACAACATTCAAATCATTACAAAACTCATCATAGACATAACCACAACGGTGCTGAGATATTTGCAAAATCTCTGGGGCTCAGCTGTCTCCAGTGGGAAACGAACGCGCTTTTCCATGGGCTTACACGTTCACCACCACACCATGTGGGTCCTTCGTTACGCCTGTCGCTCAGCTAATTCTATCGATCAATACCATCAGCAGTCACGTATCAGCGGGATTGATCTGGGAAGCCCAAATCGAGAAAGAACCCATCTACGCTGAGGCTGTAGTCGAAATCACAATGTTGATTTTTTATTTACTGCCTACTAGAATTTTTCACGGCAGGGTATTATAATGAACATCATCATAGAATCTATGTGCGTAATGGTAATGTAGAGAAAATGTTGTAATTGCTTGAGGCGAGGGTGCTATATAGAAGTTCTTTATAACCCCTCGCTTAGAGTTCAAGGATTTTTTTTAAACAGGTGGAACATATTCATTATCAGGTTCATTTTGAAACGATATATAGGTCAGCGTTAATCATTCCAGAGGCGTGCGCCATGTATTCGACTTCATAAAATATCGTTAGAGGTAGTTGAGTGAATGTCTGTTCTACACAGTGGTTCACGGAGTCTTACTAATGCAGCTAGTCAGTGCCTCTCCCAGAAGTCTGGAACCAAGTTCCCGACCCCGAAAAGATAATAGGCATGGTGAACCCTCGGCGCGGTATCGAACCGAAGATCACGTGTTCATTGCAGAGCACCAATAAACCACTGTGCTGCATGCTCTTCGGATCCAACTTAGTAAGATCCATCTGGTTAAACAAAATACATTAAGCATTGCAAAGAGGTATTTTACATCCTAGAATCGGTCTGCAGAAGTCCTGCTATTCTACGGTTCTTCGAAGTAGAACATGGTTTGAGAGCTAAGAATGAACTGAGGCTACCTCTCTGCAGTAATGCCTCCTCTTAATGGTATTGCTCTATGTTTTCTAAGTATAGCAACTATTCCCAGAATAGTTTCTATTCCTTTCTAGATGTATTTCTATCTTTCTGCTACTGTATGTTTTTGTAGTAAGGATCATATCCACTGTTTTTCAAGTCACCTATCAAATGTTGTAGTACGTAAATATTTCGATCCCATCCTAAGGAACTTCGATCACTATAAACAGTCTTTTAATGCAAGCCTATTCTTGCAATCTGAACTCGTTGTTTGTTAATTACACTGTCCAAAAGTTATCATGGGTGCAATAACAGGAAGGGCATGAGGATGTTTGCGAAAGCAGTCTTCCGCCAGATGATCTGTGGTTTTGAGAGGATTTAGAGACGGTGGCGGAGGAATCTTTTGGAAAAGATGCTGGACCTGTGCCAAATACCGCCTTCTCCAGGAGCATATAAATAGCCTTGTGAATTGCAATCCTGGCTCGCCCTGTCAGG